GTTCAGGTAATTCCTCAAGTCTAAAGGGTCTATTTGACTGTCCACATCACAGACTTGCCAGAAAAATATCACAGATAAGATGTAAAAATCGCTTTGATTTTTTTACCATACAAATGTAGTTCATAATCTATGTGAATGCTTCCTAGTGTTGCAGTGTTAGGATTCACTGAGAGAGACTAAAGACTTAGACTCAATTCAAATTTAGATTAAATGAATTTATTCTTACTGCTAGCAGGACAGCAGCCTTAGAGCTAAACAGCATGCTGTGTCATAAGGAGCTAAAAGAAGGGTTTACAAAGTGAGCATCAAAGGTATGCATTACAATTATCTACGGAATCGACAGCTGGGCAAGAAAATTGCTTTCCTCCCCTCTGATGCTTCTCTTTCCTGCTGTTCAGCAATAAAAAGACCACATCATCCCAATCCCACAGTGATAAGTAAAGTTTACAAAAGCGGGAACACCAGTATCTGTTCTTATCTCACCTGCAGTCCATTAGAATCTCACAGGCATTCCAAGGCAAAAGTCAATGGCCACTAAGGGATGTCTGGTACCATTTAAAGTTTCTTTAGCCACCACAGGGGAGTTATGTGTAAATTATTGCACAGGATTGAGCACTGTGGGGGAAATGTCACTAATTGACTGGGATAAAGTAAGCAGTAACACAGTGCCATCAGGTTAGGGATAACTGTCACATCCCCACACTAGAAAAAAAGTTGTGTCTAAACACAAGGTTAAGTGAATTAAAGAATGTGTAATATCAAGCAGGCAAGTAAAAATAGTTTAATGATAAAAATAATGAAAAATCACTGGGTGGTGGCAGCGCATGTCTTTGATCCCAGCACTCAGGAGGCAGAGGCAGGAGGATCTCTGTGAGTTTGAGGCCAGCCTGGTCTACAGTGAGATCCAGGATAGGCACCAAAACTACACAGAGAAACCCTTCTTGAAAAACAAAACAAAAGAAAGAAAGAAAGAAAGAAAGAAAGAAAGAAAGAAAGAAAGAAAGAAAGAAAGAAAGAAAGAAAAGAAAGAAAGATCTTTATTATCCTTGAAATTAGTTTATTAAATTTATTATAAATATATTGGCAAATTTTACAAATAGACAGTGGCCACCAAATAGAAAGAAAAGTACAGACACATATATAATAAGGTAAAAATATTCATATTGTTAGATTTCAAACCCAGGACAAATAGCTGAGGTGCCTATTTAGTATATCAACGTAGACACTGGCTGCTAGGTTCTCCCCACATCCCTTAGTCCCTACATATAACAGGGTCCTCCTGGCTGGCATACTCTGTCCCCTACCTAAACTTTTCTGGCCCAGGGAGTGGGCTGCCCCTCCCAAAGCTGTCCTTCCCTATATAATCCAACCATTTTGGTTACCTGGTCTTTTTGTTGACTCTCTTTTAGGCCTCCTGACTACTGTACCTGTTCCCTCTCTCTCCCCTATCCCTTCCCCTCACCTTCTCCTCCCATGGCTCAGGGTCTTGCCCACTGTGGACTCTCCCAGATGTTCCTGCCTCTGACTATGCTCTCCCACATATCTATAGTAAACTTTCCCCTTCACCATTCCTAGGAATAGTCATGTCCTTTCCTTCTCATTTCCTTTGTCTATTCACATATCAGAACAAACTATTATCACGTTTATTAGAGATAAATGGACACTTTCCAATGATGTGAACAAATAAGAGTTTTACAGCTTGAGTAAAAGTATTCTCATCCTATCAGTAAACTAAACTTAGTATTATTCATCGACCACAAGTGTGAAATTCTCAAGAACAAAGAAAAATTATAAAAATAAAGGATTGGAAAAGAAAAGAAATAGTTTTTTTTTTTTTAAAAAGAGAGAACTCCATGACGAAACCATAAAATACTGGTAAGTATAACTGAACAATACACAAATAAGTAAAAGACAATCTAACATTAATTCATTAGAAGAATAAATATTTTCTAAATGGTCAAACTACCCAAAGCAATCTATAAATTCAATGCATTCCCATAAAAATAACAATGACCTTTTCCACAGACACATAAAATAATGTAAAAATTTCTAGGAGAGGACAAGGGAACCTGAATAGTCTAAACATCGATCAAAAGAGGGAGAAAGAATAAAGATGAAGGTATCATAGTACCTGACTTACACAATGAAACAATTGTCACAAACCTGCATGGCACTGGCATAAAATCAAACATGGGTAGACTGGATTCAATGAAGAACTTACCAAAGAATCCACACACAGCTTAACTGATTGCTTTTTCAGTACAAGGACCAAACCCAGGATACCTTGCATGCTAAGCAGATACTCTCTGCCATTGAGCTACTTCTTTAGCCCTAATTAACTTTTAAGTTTTTGTTATTTCACTGACCTAGTAAAAACATAAAATTTCAAAATGGTGTGTGTGTGTGTGTGTGTGTGTGTGTGTGTGTGTAATGTTTAAAACATTCTGGATACATCTATTCCCTCTAGCATTTGACATTTTTTATGATGAAAATAGTCAAATTTCTTTCTTCTAACTTTCTAAGATATATACTACATACTGTTACCTTGTCACCATACTATGAATAATATGAATAAGAATTGCTTTTACCTGACTAATTTAGTATCTATAGCTCAACCTGGCCTCATTTACTTCCCCCAGTAACTAGCAATTAATACCACTTCTACTCTTAGTAACACAGTCCAATCAGCATAATGCCATGGGCCAGCATGATGCCCTGAAGACAGGTGATCAGGACCCCTGCAAACTAAGTTATGACACAAGACAAGAGAACTGATATACATTTGAGGCCAGCAGAAAGCAATTTGCTTCTTGTGGACCTTACAACACGGTATGGAGGGAAAAGCATTTGCTAAATCAAAAATAACATTCCAGGTACAAGAGATGTGTTAATCTGCTCAAGTAAGGATCTAGCAAAGTAGCTGAGATTGGAGTTGCAAATTAATTAAACTTACAATGATCAACTGTCATTTCCCATGATCCACTCATTTTCTTCACAGACAAATTAGGAGAGCTAAAGGCAAATGTGGTAAGACTCATCACCCCTGAATCTTTTAAAACCTTAATGGTGGCACCAAACTCTGTAATTCCTGTGAGGGTGCAATATTGCTTGGGGTTATCTGTTTTCCTGGTGGAGGCAGACTTCCATTTGGCTTTTCCAACCCTTATAGCTCTCAACCTCCTCCCCCAGAACAGGGAACCAGTGAGGGAATTCTGCTAGCTCCTAAGAGTATCCATGGCAAATATGCATGTGTTTTGGTACTGCAAAACAACCACTGGGGATATGTTGAACCCACATCCATATTCCATTGAGTTGAACTTTAGCTAAAAGGTTTTTGATTACCTAACACCCATAGTTTCTTTGACTATAGGACTATAATGCTTTTGGGGGTTTCCCATTTTCTCTATTAGCAATTTCATTGTTGTGATTGAATGTCCATCAAGAAGAAACTTATGAAAGCAAGGGTTTATGTTGGCTTAAAGTTTGAGAAGGTGCTTCCATCACTGGGGAAGACATGGTAGCAGGAGCATGAGGCTGCTGGTCATATTGCATCAATAGTCAAGAAGCAGAAAGCAAACGAGAAGTGGAACCCAGGTTAGAAAGTTTCAAATGTACAACTTTCTCCAAAGAAACTGAACCCCAAACTTAAGATTCCAACAACCTGAACAATGCCACCAGCTAGGCACCAGACATTCAGATACATGAGTCTGTGAGATATATTTCACATGCAAATCTCATTAATTATTAAAATGGAAGCTTGAAATTAATCACATTTAGAGTGATTTTAGAAAAGACATGGTGTTTGGAGAAAGCTTGGAGCTCATGTGATGCTAAAATGGTATAATACTAAGAATCCTTCTAATTGTGAGTTCATGTAAACAAACAGCCACTAAATATTTGCCTTTTTTACATGAAGCCTATACAAAAATGCATGAGTTCATCAATGAACAGCTAAATTGAAATTAAAAGTAAAGAGGAAAAAGAACTTAACATACAGAAATCTATGAACATAAACTTCAGGAAGATTTAAAAAGCTGTTCATTTCTTATCTATAATACCCAAACCTATAACATTCAGTTAAATCAAGAGAATAATTAGCAGCTCTCCACTGGGGTGAGTCCCTGAGAGAGAGCTCCTCAAAATGCCACCCTTTGAACAGTGTTTACCTGAGACCAAGCCTGGAGGAACAGCATGTCCCCTGGTGCCTGGGCAGCTTCAGGTACCATGGGCTTAATAAGGAGTCAAAGCATCCTTTGCTTCATACTCAGTTTTGTACGAGAGCACCTTAGTCCTTTCCTTACATGAAAATCTCACAGCTAGATTCTGGAACAAAGAATCTCAAGATCCAGTGAAATTTGTTCCCACTGACTAAGGTCAACATTGGTAAGTGAAACTTCTCCAAGTTCTATATAATTCACTTGACATTTAAGTAGCATGCATCATCATCCATGTCAGTTATCACAGAAATGACTTCTAATAAGACTTATAATTTCCTTTCCCAAAGAATAGTTTAAATAGGCTGGAAAATACATACAGGAAGTGAGTCTAGAAAAGACATGAATTATAGTCACCTCAATGTATGTGGTATGGACTACCTTACATGAACACTTCCTGAGCTGTCTGTTAAGCTCAGAAAATTTTTTAACCAGGGAAGTAATGTGACTGTCCTAAAATTATCAAATATTTTCCAAGCCAAGTGGATGGAGTCTTAGAAGAAGAATTGTCAGGAAATGTCAAGATATAGTTTAAGAAAAAAATAGCATAGCCTTATGATATGACTGGCTTCTTGAGAGTGATCTAAGAAACCATCAATATTAGACACAAGGATTGCAAGAGTTGGGTAAGTTACAATGAGAGAAGAATTGGACAATCAGTCAGGGAACATGTTGGGGAAGATAATGTTTGGCACAATAAAGTTTTTGAATATTATTCATAATAATGAAATCAGCAGAAATTGAAGTGTGAAGTTAAGAAAATCTTGGTGATTTGCTTCACAGATCAGCCCAGCACAACATGGAAGTATGACTGGAATTGCATAAAGTTGAGGAATGAAACTGCCAAAGATGAAAGACTCATCTATAAAGTAACAAGAGGTAATAACTGAAGAAACAATTAGCAGATAAAATTTTAATGTTTTTTGAATGTGAAGATGAAAGATATGTGAGAGGGAGATGGAGCTGACCCAGTTGGAGGTAGCTAAGCATGAATCAGAACACAAGGCTCAAAGCAGCAGGAGAAATGAGATTGTAAGAAAAATAACAGAACAAAGACATGCTCATTTTATAAATGGATGAGATAAAATATCTATGTATATTTAATACAGAGATACACATATACACACAGAGCACAGCACAGTGATCAATATGAGTGGTTGAGAGAGAGAGAGAGAGAGAGAGAGAGAGAGAGAGAGAGAGAGAGAGAGAGAGAGAGAATATAGCATACTGTAACAAAGCAGTTGCTGAGATGGAATACAGATGGGCACAGATGTAGACACTGACTGAGGAAAGAGAAAAGCTAAAGAGAATTTTGTTCCTGTGCAGATAGAAAAAGGAGAAACAACACATAACTGCCTGTATGTTCTCACTGAAGTAACTGATATCTTTCCTCCATTTATTCTGGGTTATTCCTAATCATTTATAGGTTGTACCAGTAACTAAATTTTTTATAGTTATCAGAGGAGGCTTCAGTGCATTATTATTATCATTATTGTTATTAATTATTATTGTTGTTATTTGTTTTTTTTTTGAGATGGAGTTTGTATGTGTAACAGTCCTGGCTGTGTTGGAACTCACTTTGGTAGACCAGGCTGGCCTCAAATTCACAGAGATCTGCCTGCCTCTATCTTCCAAGTACTGGGATTAAAGGTGTGTACCATCACCTCATGACTGATTATTGTTTAATGCAGCGTATTATTTTGATGCTAAGGTACAATGTATAAAATATGAAACTATTATATTGACCTCATCCTCACTGGTTTTATTGAAGTAAAGCTATTTCCATCATCATTTCATTCAGTTTTTCTAATTTTGACAATTCAGGTTCTATTCCAGAAAATTCTCATGACTTGTTAATCACACTTAGGGTTTCTATTTCCAGAAAATTGCTAAATATTTGTCAGAAGTGAGTGTTAGCTAATCCCAGGGAGACAAGCTCTTCTTGCTATCAGTAGTTTTATTTCATCTTTTCCTTAAATAGAGCCAAACCTTGAGTCTCCAGGGTGACCCAGAATGAATGCGAGCTCCAAGACTGGATTCCTCCTCATGGGGTTTTCTGATGAGCGCAAGCTTCAGATTTTACATGCAGTGCTCTTTTTGATAACATACCTGCTGGCCATTATGGGCAATCTGCTCATTATCACTATTACCACCTTGGACCATCGTCTGCATTCTCCCATGTACTACTTCTTGAAGCACCTCTCTCTTTTGGACCTCTGCTTCATCTCTGTTACTGTCCCCCAATCCATTGCAAACTCACTCATGAACAATGGTTTCATTTCCCTTGGTCAGTGTATGCTTCAGGTTTTCTTCTTCATAGCTCTGGCATCGTCAGAAGTAGCTATCCTCACAGTGATGTCTTATGACCGATATGTCGCCATCTGTCGGCCACTGCAGTATGAGACAATTATGGATCCCCGTGCCTGCAAGCGTGCAGTGATAGCTGTGTGGATGGCAGGTGGCCTGTCTGGACTCATACACACGGGTGTTAACTTCTCAATTCCTCTTTGTGGGCAGAGAATTATTCACCAGTTCTTCTGTGACATTCCCCAAATGCTAAAACTAGCCTGTTCTTATGAATTTATTAATGAGATTGCAGTGGCCGCATTCACAACATCCACAGCCTTTGTCTGTTTGATCTCCATTGTGTTCTCCTATATTCAGATCTTCTCAACTGTGATGAGAATCCCATCATCTGAAGGTCGAACTAAGGTATTCTCCACTTGCCTACCACACTTGTTTGTAGTTACCTTCTTTCTCTCAGCTGCAGGCTTTGAGTTTCTAAGACCCCCTTCAGATTCCCTGTCAGCTATGGACCTCACATTCTCCATATTCTACACTGTAATACCTCCAACACTCAATCCAGTCATCTACAGCTTGAGAAATGAAGCCATGAAAGCAGCTCTGAAGAAAGTGTTGTCAAGAGAAGAATTTTCTCAGAGAATGGTGTGTTTAAAAGCTATATTCAAACTCTAAAGAGACAACAGATTAAGAGACATTGCTACTATGTTCTAAATTAGAGGAGAGATGAATTAGATTTCTTCTAGGATTCTGTTTCAGTGTTCCATATATATATACATCCTTCTCAGAAATAATTCTATCAAATGAAAGATGATTGACCAGTGAGGATATGTATGACCTTCCTTCTTTCCTTCAATTCCAATATTATTTCAAATAATGTTTAAGGATTCCCAGGAAATAAGAGGGAAAGAAGAGTTAGTGGTGACATGATCAAATTAAAGTTAATTTTAATAAATACATTTCAGACTGCCATTAGGTAAACTGATTTTGTCTATATGATACTCGGTCCCTGTTGTTGTACATAATTCTCTATAGACTGTCAAGTTTCCTATCATTCTTAAGAAGCTACAAGGTTTTCTTGCTATTAAAGTGTATAGTAACTATTTCCATAATTTATTCAGTCCCTAGCAAAATTCACATGCTTTCTACATATTCTTTCCCAAATCCAAGTGAACTACTTCTTAGTTTTACTACATTTTCCCTTATTACTAATGATGGAACAAAATTTAGAGAGATTAATTTTTTGACATTTTTCAAATAAAAATTGCTAAAATTATGATTCACATTGTTTTTTTCTAATAGGCAGTTACCAATATATCTAACAACATAAATGCTTTGGTTCTCAAGTATAATTTGTATGTGTACATATGATCATAAAGGTAGGGACATATGACTACAATTCACTAATGAAGTAGGTACCAAGAACTGTCTTTTCCATCACTGAAAAGGCTCAAATTAAATCTTCCCCTCATCTGATAAAGGGACTACAGTGTCAGTGGCCATGTCAGAGGCGCATCAGGTGGCAGTTGAGGTTCTGGAAGTCAGCCCACCAGGAAGCAAAGCTCTGATGGGTGACTCTCTGATAGGCAAGGCCCCAAGAGCCTTGGCCCCAGAATGTCTCTTGCTACTGCTGTGTCTTTACATGCTTGCTGCTGCAGTTTTTTTTTCTGGTATCTAGCATGGTGTGAATGGGCATGGGAAGATCCCCACTGACCCTAATGTGGTATGATTATCTCATGGAAACATCCCATTCTACTGGACATTTTTACCTGTGGATTATTATGAAGTTGATTTCCTCCTAAGCTGTACTGCTTAACTGAAGCAATGATTTTATACAATAATAGTGTTAGTTTAAATAGGATTTTGATGGTTGACGGTCTTTAATAAATAGAGTGATGGATTGTGATAGAGGTTAAATGTAGGATATAGTGCTGCCTCTGCCCCTGGTAAAGCAGGGGTTGCAGAGCATAAAAAATAAGAACAAGGAAATGTCACACACCTAGTTTCTCTTGAGGAGATGTATAGACTGTGTCTTAGGTTAATTAATTTAAAAAAAAAATGAGTCCCATAAGCCCAGCTAGCTCAAGCTCTTTTGATCTTAATGTTGGGAAATGAGTTCATAGGTTTCAGTGTGCATCAGAGCTAAAACAAAACTTTAGACAATGACTTAAGGTTGTTTTTGTTAATGGCTTTGAGGTTAAAAAAAAATCTTGGAAAACAATTTTAAAAAGCATACATTTAACAGCTGAGCAAGGCACTCGTTGAGGTCAAGAAACAAGAACAGTGATAGCCTGGCTATTGCTGGTTGATGTACCTACCTTGCTAGGATGGGCTGGTGATCAAGGGTGATGATTAACTCCATGTACTCATTTCTGCCCTCAGCTTCCTGATATAAAAAAAAAAAACTGTTGATGAGTGGGCACCCTGAGGATTTAAAATAGAGCTGACTGATTCTTTTTTATATATAAAAGTTTAGATTTGTGATTCTTCTAAGATCTCTTATAAGGTTACATTTTGAGGTAAATAATAAAATAATTGATCCTTTCTTTGTAACTACAAAATGCAGTCTGCCAGTCAAAGAACTGGCTGAGGAAAATACCTTGTTTGCTTACACTCTGTTAATCTATAACAAATTGCTTGGGTATGAATGTATGTGGGTTCTTGAGACAACTTGTTTTTTACCTGTAATACATAAAATGTTTAATCATGTAAGGTAAATGGAAAACATGCTTTTTTATTTTTATTCATTGTAATCATTCACTTAAAAAATAGATTGTAACCATATTGTAATTTTTATATTGCTTGAGCGATTCTACTGGGGTATATAAGCTGTAAAGGAAAAAGACATGAGAGAAGGAAAACATGAGGAAATATATAGAAGGAAAGTTAGAAAGAATGCATCAAGAGAGACAGAAGAGATACATATGGACAGAGAAAATAAAAGAAATAAAAAACAGACAGAGATGCCTGGGGCCAGCCCTAGCAATTTGACAGGTCCCAGGAGCATGTAAGGTGTTGATGAGGAGGAAGTGAGTCAGGCAGAGTGGTTATGAGAATCTTGAAGCCTGACTGACTAGGAGACAGAATGTTTATTTATGCAGAATCCAGTAATCAGGGATAGATTCATGTTGTTCCAAAACATAGATCATATCATTTTTGGTTTTGGACATGTGTTTCGCTTCCTCTTTTAGTCATCATTGATAAACTGTGACAGAACAGAGTTATCTTTTACATCCGTTTCCCTTTGAGTTTAATCATTGATAAACAGCTATATTTTTTTTTACATTTTTTTAAAATTTATTCATTTTACATACCAACCACAGATTCCTGTTTCATTCTTCCTCCCACTCCCCCAACCCCTACTTTCCCCCTATCCCTGACCCATCCCCTCTTCCAACAGGGTAAGTTCTCCCATGAGGAGGACAGCTAAGCCTGGTACATTCAGTTGAGGTAGGACCAAGCCCCTCCCAACTGCATACTGCCCCATGTATGCCCAGGAAGTTCCAGGGCATAGGCAGGGATCACAAGGATAAGGGGCGGGCTTCCAGGACAGTGCACATTCCACCTTTTATTTGGGTCATATACCCTCCACTAAAAACTCCACCCTTTGGGCCAAACCACTCCTTACAATTGGCTAGTGGACTGGTGGCAGAATTCCAGTAAGAGTACCTTAATTCTTTAAATGGAGCTTGGAACAGAGGGACATAATTCAATCAAGCTTACCTTACTGAAAATGAGTAAGTTAATAAAAGCCACATATGTGATCCATGTAAGAGTTTTAAAATAATATTAATTATTAATTTAAATAATATATTCTTTACATTAAATAAATTTACATTAAATAAAAATTTACATTAAATAAAAAATTTACATTAAATAAATAATTACATTAAAATAATATATTCTTTACATTAAATAAATAATTTACATAAAATAAATAATTTACATTAAATAAAAATTTACATTAAATAAATAATTACATTAAAATAATATATTCTTTACATTAAAGCTTTCTCCAAGAAATCACAGTCTCTGATGGCCAGTGTCTTTCCTGGGAGTCAGTCATCAACAAAAAGTCATTATTTGATGGCTTCACCTAAGGAAAATTGACATAAAGAACACATAAACACACACACACACAAATATTTAAAGGCAGTTTCATAATACCACTAAATTGGAAAATGGCATGTATTTTGTTTGCTAGTTTTGTTATATACTAAAATAAAATGTCCATTTAAAAATAGAAAGAGTGCTTGCTGAGAAAGTTTAAGGATCAAACCACATCCAATGAAAAAGATCACTTTCTGTTGCCTACTTGTCAAGATGTAGGACTCTCAGCTGAAGCACCATGTCTGCCTGCATGCAACCATGTAGCACCATAATAATAATGGACAAAACCTCTGAAAATGTAAGCCACTCCAATTAAATGTTTTTCTTTATAAGAGTTACCATGGTCATGGTACCTCTTCACAGCAAAAGAAACCCTAACTAATACAGTATGAGAAAAGAATATATGTTTACTAAAAGGGAAAAATTAAAAATACCAGTTTAGGGGGTTGGAGAGATGGCTCAGTGGTTAAGAGCACTGAGTGCTTTTCCAGAGGACCAGGGTTCAATTCCCAGCACCCACATGGCAGCTCACAACTATCTATAACTCCAAGTTCTGACATCCTCACACAGACATACATGCAGGCAAAATACCAATGTACATAAAACAAAAAAAAATTTATAAAAAAAGAAGAAATAAAAATACCAGTTTAGATGTTTCTCACATTTTATAAATAGTATTTTATCATTAAATTAACAGTATGTCCCTTATTAGTCTCATTGCATATGGAGTTGAAATTTTCTAAGATTAATGAAATAAGAGTGAATTTTAAATACTGAATGAAAATTATCATGGACTTTTAGAATATTATAAACATACAAATTAACAATCAGCAAATTTCAAAACAGAGCACATATTTCAAACAGGGAAATTCTCAGTTTAATGTAATACAATTTATGTATCATCTGTCTGGTTGATATGATTTTGTTCTAAATATTTAATCTTCATTCAGCACCCATGGTCTATTTACTTATCATAGCTTCATCAAAATATTCAGAATCAATGACATAGGTTCTCTGGCTTTGTGCTTTTTCAGGTTGTAGCAACTTTTGTCCCTATACATTTTCATATTTAGGATAAAGCCATCTTAGGTGAGTTTGAAGAGATTGCTCAGTGGTTAAAAGCACTTGAATTCAGCGCCCACACAGAGCACATCACACCTGCCTGTAACTCCAGCACTAAGAATCCCAATGCCTTCTTCTCAGCACCATAGGCATTACACTTATGTGCATTCACACACTCACATAAACATACATACATATACATAAATAAAAACTAAAAATAAATAAAAAAATAACTCTACTCACTAAAGTTATCTGTAATGAAAAGAAACTGAAAAGGAGCCTGGTTCAGAACAGACATTCAAACATAATTTTTAAGTCTACAAATAATAAAATTTCCTACAAAGTGTGATGGGTAGTACAGGCCAAATGCTACATGGCCTTTAAAATATGACTATACTACAGAAGGAAAGGAAGGGAGGAGTGTAGTGTGATCCTAATTAGTCTTAACAATAAAAACCCAGAGCCAGATATTAGGGTGAAAGTTGAAAGATCAGAGAAGCAGAGCAGCCAGCCCCTGGGAGACTTCTTACCCCTACAAATCCTCAGACGAATCCAGCCGAGATCCTGT